GCAATTACACTTTATCCTCTCAAACAGTCCTAAAAACGTTCAGAGTGCACTACTTCACAGGGGAATTCGCCCCCTAGACCCCGCCAGGGTCATACGTAATTCGCATAACGGCTTCTCCCCTTTCAAAATCCTGGCTACGTCCCTGAATAAGGTTAAGACCTACCGAAAGCAAACCTATCACATGGGATTTAATTTAATTTAAACACTTTTAAGTGTTTAAAATATAATTCAAGTGATAGTACATTCTCTCTCAGCATAAAAATTATTGTATTAACGTCTCAGGCTAATTTTCGAATGTTGCTCCTTCGTTACGCCACTGATACGTAATTCGCATAACGGCTTCCCCCCTTTCAAAATCCTGGCTACGTCCCTGAATAAGGTTAAGACCTACCGAAAGCAAACCTATCACATGGGATTTAATTTAATTTAAACACTTTTAAGTGTTTAAAATATAATTCAAGTGATAGTACATTCTCTCTCAGCATAAAAATGATTGTATTAACGTCTCAGGCTAATTGTCGAATGTTGCTCCTTCGTTACGCCACTGATACTTTGTAGTTTTGCATTTACACATTTCACACCGCCCGAAATGGGAACCACCCTACGCCTGCGTCCCTGAATTAACCTGTCAATTAGCGTGAAAAGGTTTGTGTCTGTTGGTGAAAACGATCAAAATAAACCCAGCATAAGGTAAGGGTGGGGAATTGTGGACAGTATCCAATTGGAGACCACCTCAATAAATCGATTCTGCAGACCTGTCGCCAGCAGAGAAGTTTATATAGCTCCATCTATTGCCTTCCTTGTTCTCCCGCGTTGTTATGAATGCAGCCATTCCAGTGATGAACACATTTTCTCCCTGAATTTAGAGAAAATATACACAGGTAGGCCCTATGTTTATTTGTTAATGCATTTTTTGGCTGATGTAAAAACTGAATTTCTAAAGAACAGTATTTTTTAAGAAAATACTATGATTATGGTAAATTATTGTTGTATTGTTTACATTACCATTGTGTGAATGGACTGTACAATGGCTGGTTTGATGAGCTGATATGCTGGTGGCTGTTTGTAGTGGGTGTTTACAAATCGGTGGCGTGGGTAATTATGGACCGGCTAGAGGGCGGTGTTGTTAATATGCAGCCTTTATATAATAATTGTATTATTGTTTTTAAGTTGTTCAGTTTCACATCATAATATTTAAGTAAGTTAATCAGGTTTGATAATTGCAGAAATGGTAATTAGCAATAGTTTATGTGCATATTACTATTACAGTATAAATTAATAAGGTCATGTGTGGTCATCATGACTAAAATATATTTTGTTGATACTAAATAAGGCAGTGTGATCAAAATTTCTTCAGTATTAGGCATATCACAAAAACAACTAAAATGTTAGGCTATGTTATTATATTACTATTAAAATAATTATTATACTTATAGGCCCTATCTTTTTTATTTTTACAGATTCCACAGAACTACAGTATGCTAATGACGGATTGAGCCTTGTGGACCACTGAAACGACCATGCAAAGGGTCATCGATGCTTGTAGAAGAGATTAGTCTAATTAACTAAATA